TTTACACTAAACTACATGAATATGTTTGACTTCAAAATTCAGTGAGTTTAAAAGAAAGATCATAATCACCAGAAGAAATCCACCTCTTAAGATTTCTTTCTTTTTACCCAACATATTCTCAAAATAAAGCTCAAGTTCAATCGTTGTAGATAACTGCCTTAAAGAGTTATTGGGGTGGGAAGCTCGGGCTCGGGCTTGGGCATATAGCCCATCAGTCCATGTTAATGTCGGGCTAAATGGGTACTCAGACGGAGTTTTGGACTTCAATGTTGGGCTAATATTGCGATTTTGATTGCAGATGATGAAATGCATGCGCATGATAATGGTTAAATAAAATGAAATTCGTGTTGTTCGTCAATGGTCAATGGTGAGTGGCAAATAATATCCCTTCCCCCTCCTATGGAATTTTGCTCTTCACCACTCCTTATTGAACAAAATCAAAAGGTCCAAATCAAAATGGAGATATCCAATTAAATTAACACCGTGCAATGTGCTTCCAGCTTTGCTTTCCATAAACCAAAAAAGTCGGCTACAACAACCCTTTTATTGATTGGTTTTGCGTTCAATAATTGGAGGTACTACAACATCAATTTACTCATGTTACAGTGCACGTGTTCAATGATTGGAGTACTACAACATCAATTTACACGTGTTACAACATCTAAACTTATTAAGTTGTCATTTACCTAATCGGTTATGTATCATACTAATACTTTTCCATCAATTATGAATGTAAATCGAGTAACTTGCATGTGATCAGTAAACCTTTACCAAAGTGCGAGTGTATAAACTAAATTCCATCTAAATCATGTTTAAAACAAAGCTCAACCCTAATTGAATTGATATTTGTTATGAATGATTAAAAACATGTGTTACAATAGGGTTAGATGAAGGAACAAAAATTTGGACAAATTTTTTTACTCCTTTTTAGCCACTAAATTTTATAAAATTCAACGGTCTTAATTAAGGATAGCGGCTTTTAAAGAGTAAATAACGTGGACAATGGCGTGCGTTATAACTAATAAAAACAAATAAAGATTAAAACATAAAGATATAAAATTGAGAGGAATTAAAAAGGAAAAAAAATCACCCACGCTTTGGAGGGAGGGAGAGGAAGACCTCCATTGCTTTGCATAATTGCTAAAGAACAAAGACGTGAGTGAGTGCTTTGGCTAGCTTTATGTGATCAAAGAGAAAGATGTAAATTTGAGTGTTTATCACCCAAACCTGTAAACCCTACACACACTGATCTTGCCTCACGCAACACAAAGATGAGAATCTGAGATTAATGTGTGGCCTCACGCTGCTCTTGCCTTTTGGCCAACAAGGGAAGAATTTTTTTTTTTTCAGTCTAATTTATCAGCCAAATATAGCAAAAATAAAGAATTAGGATTCCAGGTTTAGATCAAGTGATAGGTTGATATGCTTTATGCGCTTCTTGATTTTGTATCAATTGAATGAAAGCAATATGTAGTGAAAGCGCTGGAATTTTCTCTACACCTTCTTCTCATGTTCGTGGCTAGTCCCTCCTCCCTATGTTCCACCGTTAGATTGATTTGCCTTTTTCTTTCAGTTTTATTCTATTTTAATTATAATCCATGTCATTAAAATCCTCCACGTCATTTAATCAAGATCGTTAGATGCTATAAAATCTAATGGTTAAAAAGGAGTACAGAAGTGTCTAAAATATTTGTCTCTTAATCCTAACCCGTTATAATATGTGGCTTAAGTTACAACTCTAAGCACAAATATACATATATATATATATATATATATGACAATAACACTTAAAAATCTCTCCTTTATCTACCTACGCTTGTGAAACTATAATCTTCATACGTATTCAAAGTTTCAACCTTTGCTTTCATGTACAAGCATATTCAACTTTGCTTTTGTACTGATGTTTGAACTTTGAAGTAGTACAGAAGCAAATTGTAACAGCTCTCTCAAAAAACCATGTGACCATATTGAGTAAAAACTAAAAGAAAAATGCAGTCAATCATCATCGGTCCATGTGTTTCTCATTCGAGTTTTCCCATAACCTAACACCCCTGCGTTTTACACCAGCATTTTCTGGTCTTTTACATGTAGGAAAAAAGGTACACCAACTTCATGGGGATGGGGTCTCCCTTTTGGTTACCTGTAACCCTCTCCATAATTAAATACACGTTTACAAAATCATTAAAGAATCGTACGATCTTTTCTTCATGGAGCCTCGCGATAGTTTTTGGGTTTGCAATGTTTTAATTCTCGTGACTAGGGTTTAGTGAACTAAAGGCCCTCCCTGATTAAAGGAACGTAATCGGTTGTTGATGCGTTTGTAATTATAGAGTTATGATGTTCATTTGATATGTGTAATCTCCTGAGTTGTTTTAAGAGGCGTGTTAACATGTATATTATACGTACGTCTTGGATGATTTTTAATAGAATCTCTTTCCCTCGACAGAAAAATTACACGTTTTACATAAGTTCAATGAGCAAAACCTTTTTAATTAATTTTTTTTAAAATTGCGCACTTGATAAAGTTGCAATAACTTACTCTTGTAAAAATAGAATATATTCCACCAAGACTCTATTAAATTTACCCGTATATTACAAGATAATCTGCTACCAATTGAAATGTTTTAGCTTTCCTTGGTGCAAGGAGAGATTAAACATTTTTGCAAACAGTCTACCGAGCTTTATGTGAAAAGCACGACAAAGTCATGCATGCATTATTTGTTTTGTTTTGTTTTGTTTTGTTTTTTTTCAACCATCATCTTTATTTGATGTTAACAAGCAACCTATTGAAATAAATAATGTTTGAAATATGCAATGAGCTATTGTTAGTCAACAGTGGCAGATTTAAGATTTGAACAATTGAAGTCTCAGTGTTAAAGGTTAATTTTTTTTAATAAAAATAGAGCGAAGCGCGTAAAAAATTCCAACTTATTCATTGAGGTATTTCGTCGAACACTTGTTGAGCTTATATACGTCATCTGATTATGTTGCATAGATGTCAACAAATATCGACATATACCGAAATAATCTGATAAGTATTATCGACATATTAGATATCAAGCCAAATATTCGTGTTTCAGTCTATTATATATTCTTTTTCTTGAAAATAACAGAATTAGAAGATATATTTGGAATAAAAACCGAAAACGAGCAATTCAAATCGAAAATCTGGATAAATTTGGACCTAAACCGAATCAATCCTAACCGTATATATACCCTCGAAAAGGGCTGTGAATCTGTGATATTCTACGTGCTTAGTGCTTAAGCCAACCGGCCTGTTTCATTTCTTCTTTCCGTTCTCACTTTAATTACCTCAGATATTTGTGGACATATTATATATATTTATTCTTCCATCTTTATGTCATGGTAAATATTGGGTCCCATCCAAGAAATATCCAAACTTGATCCAATAATATTGGTATCGCGTGGTTTTCAGTGTGGAGTGGGAATGGGGGATATCTTACACATGAAAGGCTGAAAGTGGATTTGTTGGTGACATTTGTTCTTACATATGCCAGTTCCTGCATGATTTGATGTCTGTTACTTGCTTATTAGAGATAGGTTAGTTATGATTTTTTTTTAAATTTTATATAGTAATAAGTCAGTCAAAATGTTGCTTTAATTTGTAATCATAAATAATTTTGTTCGTATATTCGTTTGGCCTACTATGATTTTAAACTTGTTTTTATTTTTGTAAACACCTAATAAAGGCAAGACATTGAGTTGTGACGTCTTTTAAGTTGTTGGATTGAATTCAACAATCAACCATGCAAATGATACGCGATGTAGTTTGTTTGTATATTCGTTAGCCTACTGTGATTAAGTTGTTGGATCGAATAATATCTATTATTTTCATGCACAATAAGTTTAATTGGATGGGATACTTGGACTAGGATATTAGCAAAGGTGCTACTGTTTCAAGAGCTACTTTGTGTAAATTCTTTTAGGGTTGTTTCAAGTGTTATTTCAAGAACTACTTTGGTTTTATATACGCATGGCCTCCTGCTAATCATGCATGTTGATATGATTAGTGGTAAGCGGTGAATATAAGTTACAGATTACAAATTCAATACTTTATAGAACCAGAACTACATCAATTGTCTAAGAATCGTTTGCATAATTACTGTAAACTTGTGTTTCGTGTATATGATCAGAAAATAAAGTGTATACAACTCATGAGAGTTTATTTACGCATTTTCCCTTGCATCATAAATCTTATTTTTAATTATTTTATTCTTAAATATCGCTTGTATAAATACAAATTTAAGCGGAAAAACTTAGGATTTAGACAAAGACTGAATCAAATCAATGTAGTAATACTCACCGTAACCAACATCAATTTCAAAACCGTTTCTTTGTTTTAGTTAAATTAGTTATTCTTCCTCTTCCTCACTTATCTCCTCCCCAAAACGTCTCTCTTCTATTTCTTCCAACAAAAAAACTAATCCAACAAAATACCGAAACAAAAACTTTACCAAAGGGAAGAGATCCGATCTGGATTTCTCCCATTAAAGGTTCAGGATTAAGTGATTCGGACCGTTGAAATGTAATCTAACTGTTACAACTATTATAACTTTTAAAGAGACTCTCGTTGTTTATAACGGTTAGATCAAATTTCAACAGCCTATATCACTTGATCCTGAATCTTTGATCGGAGAAATCCGGACAGATCTCTTCCCGTTACCAAACAATTTCCGACACGACAAAAACAAATAAAAAATTTCCGGACCCTGAAACCGAGTAACAAGAAGACACCAAAGGAATTTTCAACGTGCCCCGTTCGAAGATCCTTTCACCCCCCATCTGACTTCCTCTCGCTTTCCCAAAACCCTTTTATTTTTCTTTAATTTTTTTTAATTAATTTCTAATCGAAATAGTAGACGACGGCTGCTATAAATTAAAACCGAGTAATTTATTTTTCTCAGAAATTGAGTTTCCTGTTGAAACCAATTTTTCTCTGCTCTGTTTTTGTTTTTGTTGTTCCCAAATTTTTAGTGACGATGCCGCTTCCGTGGAAGAAGACCAGAGCGACACGGATTTCCCAATTCGTCGCCGACCTCCAATCGCCGAAACGCGGCGGTTCGCTTTTCGTTCAGACCGGGTTTCCCGCCTCTCTCATCGACCTCTTCGTCAAGAACCGGGATCACTTGAAGAAACCGTCGAAAAAGCATAAGAAGAGCAAGAAGAAAGAGAATCGGGTCGATGACCGGGTCGACGATGGGATCGCTCCGAATTGTGAACTGGGTTCGAGCGATTTGCCGGTTTTGGTAAAACCCAGTTCGCCAGATTTGTCAAATGTCGAGAATTTGAAGCCCACAGAAGCTGATCGTGGCGTTGAGGCTACTGAGTTTGAAAATCGTGCGGAGAATTATGTTGTCGGTGGTGGAGAATGCGTCGGCGGGATTTGGGGGGTGATTCTGATGACGGTGATGAAGATTATTGTGGTGGTGGTTTTGGCTTTGAGCACCAAGAAGCTCGTGGTTGGGATCACATTGTCCGCTTTTCTGCTTCTGCTTCTGGAATACGCGGGTAAGCACTTGGCTTTGTTTTTGAAACCATGTTCGAATGCGAAATCTGTTATGGCTCAGAGATTGTCTGCATTTTTATTGGTTTCGAATGGTTTCGATTCGAGTGATGATATGAAGGGAGTGACTGCGAGAGAAAAGACTCTGATTTTAGATTCTGCCATTGAAGAGATTGAGATTGTTGATGTTAACAAGAAGGGAAGATTGATTGAGTTGCTTGGTATGGAATGTGAGGAGACGAAGCCCGCGGAGAAGGGAAGTGTTTGCGCTGATAAAACCGCCGGTGAAAAAAGTTTGGATGAGTTGCTTGGGATGGAATGTGAGAAGAAGAGGAGGGTGGTGGATAAGAGAAGGGTTTGTGCCAATAAGACTGTCGGTGATGTGTCGTTGGTTAAGTTATTGGGGAAGGATTATCAGAAGATAAAGCTCGTGGAGGGTGGCGAAGAAGAAGGTGAATTTGTTGGGGATAAGAAGAGTAAGGGTATGAAAAATTCTAAGATTAAAGCTAAACTTATCAAGAAATTCGTGCCTAAGAAGTTGTGTCGAAAGGGAAAGCAAAACGAGCAGGTGCTGGAGCCTGTGCTGTACAGTGGCGATTCTAGTTTCCTCGGAGATGATAAGTTAGAAGGATGTGAAGAACAAGAAGACCGTGAAGATGAGAAACAAGAGGAACAAGAAAGCGAAAACAGATTGGTGTTCTCACTAGATGCAGAGGAGAAGTCTGAAATCCAAAGCTCCGACGGAGTTTCTGATAACGGTGGAGGATCATTGGCTGGCGAAGTAACACCACTGGTTGTTGAAAAGAAGGGAAGAGAACGAAAAGAAGGGGGTTTTGGTTATCTGGTTCTCTTTCTTATAGTTCTTGCCGGACTTTTTGGAGGTCGGCTTGTAGCCCTCTTTCTTACAATCACTTTCTGTTTTTTGTCGAAGTTGATCGGAACTCTAAGGAGACTGGTAAAAGTCTGTCCATGACAAGGTGTTGTGTCCCAATCTCAAGTTAGACTGTCTAGTTTTGCGTCAGATATAGTGTTCTTCAAGTCTCGAATTCTAGTCTGAATGTGAAAAGCTCAGTGTGATAGAAAGAAATTCCAACCTTTTCGTTGGCAACCCTGCTTGAGGTGTTGTACTATAAAACTGTAAAATTGTTACAGATACAAAATATTAGTACATAGTTCTCGTTTCCTTGGATAGATTTTGTTTCTTTGCGATATCCGAATCACTTTTTCGTTATATCTGTTGTTCTGCTGTAGACTCGGCGTGCTGAAATACCAGCCATGAGCCGCTCGTTTATACACCAAATTTATTGAGCAACATTGTTACTAGATGGTGAGAAACTTCTGCAGTCATGGTTAACCATCGGATTTACAGAAACATTGTCTTGTATTTCACGGGAATGTTAACGAGGGGTTTCGCCTATCAGAACTCAGTTCCTTTCAATGATTAAAGAATGATAGAAAAAGATGGAACCAGCACCTGGAAGCGTCTCAAAAACCCTAGATCTATTATCCGCGTTCTTTCACTTACAATATTGTCACCAACTTGCCTTCTATTTACCGATTTCTTAATTTCTGGCTAGTTTCTCTTGCTCATCATTTGACGACCTTCTCTCTGCAAATCTCAGTTACTTACCGGCTTTTCCACAGTTGTCGGACAGCAGGGCATTCGCCCGATGAGTTGAGAGCACCTGACAATTTTGTTTCGTTTTTTCCACCTGAACTAGGCTGCATTTGCCTACCTTCCACCATCTCCTGCATTTGGAAGCCCTTAGTTAACTTCACTTGGCATTCTCCAAACTCCCATACTTCAGGTACATGTAGATTACTGCTGCTCCCAGTATTCCTTTTATTGTCAAATGTAGATGGCACACGCGCGCCCGAAAGTTTTCACCGAGTAGCAGTTAATATCGTTGACTGAGTTCTGTGGTTACCGCTAACGTTATCGGTGGTATTCAGAAGTAAAACTCATATACACACACATACGTTTTTGTATATTATACTATTGAGAAGATGGTTGATCTTGTACGTTTAACTTCCGAGCACACATGAAGCAACCGAGTTATTACATAATCTGCTCTCATCATATCTGTCATAAGCACTGCTAATTTCCTTAAACTGCTCCGATTTAAAGACCGTTGCATTCCACGAAACAATTCCCTTGGTAAACAAGTTATGAAATCGAGTTGAAGCCACTAATGCAGTTACCTTTGACTCGTTGGACTATGAATCAAAATGCAGTGCACAAAAGTTCTTGCCTTCATCAGGAAGTAAAGTGAAATGCTGCCAGAGTTCTACATAACAAAAATGTGCCTTGTTTTAACATATTTATTGCATAAAATAAGAAGATGAAACGTTAGGTTTATAGCTGGATTATTGTGTGAGGAAATCATAGCTGGTTTGTTGCTGGTTTGCGACTAGACTCCAAAGAACACTCGTGTTGCCGGTTCAATGTTGCGTTGGCGTCGCACGGAAATCGGAAGAAATTTCAAGCAGAACCAAATTTTCAATGAAAAGTCACGAATTTTTGCTTCTTGGAGAGTATTTTCACAAGTTGTAAACATTAATTTCATTGTTTCACTAGTTCTGCTACTGTAAGAAGGGGATATCTTCCACAAGAGGGACTCAAATACCGAACAATTTCACATAAAATCATTCGATTTCATTGAGATTTTAGTACACTTAAACAAACCTAACTCGCAATACGCGAAAACGACAAGACAAACGGAGAGATGATGTGAATTATTGGATACTATTTTCCACGGAAAACATCTAAAATTTGGCCTGAATACTAGTAATAACATATTTGTCGACCTGGAAAGACTTGGCGAGGACATCTTCTGAAATTGGGGGATTGGATCCAAACACAGCATTAGCAATGGTGTTGACTCCAGGGTTTTGGCTGCTCAAAGAAGAGAGTGAAACGGCCATTCCAGTGCCCACATTTTTCTGATAGTGAATGAGTCCGACAGGGAACACAAACGCATCGCCCCTGTTAAGGACCTTTGAGATGAGCTTGTTGTCGGGGTTTGAGGTCACGAAGCCAACATCGAGGCTGCCTTCTAAGACGGTTAAAATCTCAGTGGCACGGGGGTGAGTGTGGGGTGGGATGACACCCATTGGTGCGTAGTCGATGCGAGCGAGTGAGATGCCGAGGGTGTTGAGTCCTGGAATTTGAGCCACATTGACAGGGGTGACTTTTCCACCAACTGGGTTTGAGGTTTTGCCCGGGATGTGAAGTCCACTGAAGAAGAAATGCTCAGCTGTTGCTAGCTTGGAGTCCAAGCAAGGTAGCCCATTCACTTTTGTTGCTGTTAATAAACCAACATAAAAATTAAAGTCACTGTAGGATTAAGTAGAATCAGAGGTATACATCTTAATGTAAACTAAACATCATCTTAGCGAAACTTAACCAAACGATTCAAGACGAACCTGAGTTAGTAGTGTCAGCAACACAGAAATCCTGCAACGGACTAGGCTCGAAAGCAACAACCAGAGAACATGTCATGGCTAGGAAAGTAGTCAATAGCAAGATTTGGTTTGCCATCTTAATTTATCAACTTCTTCAATGGGATTGTATGTGAAGTTTATTGCAAGTGAAAAATGGAAGGGATTAAGAGAGATGTGAAGCAACTGATGTACGAGGTTGGTTATTTATAGAGAACGCAGAAAAACAAACTTAATTTATAAAAAAAAAAGCCGGCTTTGCAATATGGACATTGGATAAGTCTTAAACGTCCACTTAAGCTAAAGTTTAAGAACAAACACATCCATTAAATCCAAAGTTTGTTCAAAGAGTTGTTCTTCAATTAATTTTCTATTCCTTGTGATTTTTTGTAATTACGATCAAGCATTATGTTATGCATACCAAGACAAAGCATGCGGCTAAATTATCTGGGTCCAATTGGAAGAATACTAACTTGTAAAATAAAATTAAAATTAAAAACCATGAAAAGCAGAACTATAATAATAACTAAATAACCAAAGGCATATTTTTCTGTGTGTTTACTGCTCCGGCAGAGGCTGATTTGGTCAGATTATCGGGCTATATTGCCTTATATATCTTTGTCCAGATGCAAATTCTGGACACTTTCTCCCCAAGACTAAGTCACAGTGTGAAAAGAATGATTGTAAAGCAATGAAAGTTACGTTCGTTTTCTTTGATAATTAATAGTGATGGAATAAAGATAGGTTCGATTTCAAAACAAATTGGCAATTAAAAGAGTTATCCAATTCTTTACATGTCAATCACTCTATGCAAGGTTCCTTGATTTTCTAACGTGATGCTATTCTTTATTTATATGAAATAGATTCATTGCTATCATAATGTCCTATTTCAATAAAATAATGATATGCGTAAAATTTTCATCACACGACATTTTGTTTTTGAATCTAAATACCTGAGACGGTAAACCCATGTCTTGTAAATTTCTCTCCTTTCAAAGGCAAATTCAAGTAACCATCCCCGAGCGACTGCACTTGGTTCAAGGAACCACTGAATATTATTATTGATGTATTGTCGTAGGACAGTAGTTCTTTGATGTAGCAGGAGCTTTTCCTGTTTCTTTGTAGTTGCTGCTATTCTCTGAACACTTAATCAATGAAATACCATATCATTGCTTAATAAAAAAACAATGCAATGTTCACTTAAAAAAAAAAAAAAAAAAAGGCTTAGTTTAGCTACGCCCCCATTGGATTTCATTTTGATCTCACTATGTTCTTGTAACTCAAAAATCACCACTTTACTTCTTGAAAATCAAAATTCGTTCTACTTTAACTTGTAGACTCTCTCTTCTCTCTAAAACTCATTGGTTGCCTCCTAAAACATATGTGAGACTCAACACCTAATAAGATTATGCCACATGTGTTAAATTTGATTATAAATCTTCATTTTGTGCTCACATTCAACAATTACAGAATATTAAGTTTAAAAGAAATTGAAGAGATGAAAAGAATAAAAAAGAAATTGATTAGCCTAGCGCACCCAAATCAAACTCATATAAGAAATTAATAGATCAACGCAATGTGAAACAAATTTTAAGTTCTATAGAGACTATTTTCAAGTTTTAAGGCGCAAAAAGGAATCAAAATCGAGTTTCTAGGTTTAAAGTGAAGCGAACTTTGAGTTTCAGGGAGTAATATTGTGTTTTTGAGTTACCCATAGGGGGAGTGGCCAAATTCCTCCCGGCAAGGTTCTTAATTCTCCGATGTGAAACAACACATGGTAGTAAGCCAAACACCTGGATAATATATGGTGAAGTGCCGATTTAGTCCCTAAATTATCACTGCAGTAAAAATTAGGTTCCTAAATTATTTTTTTAGTAAAATAAGTCCCTAAATTCATTAAAAATTACTAATGTCATCCCTACTATTATATTCAAAGCTATTTTATCAAATTTTCCGTCAAATGAAGTTACCTGACACACTTTAGAGGGTAACATCGTTATTTTCTCGCCTATAAGCCAATAACATTTCATATAGATTGCAAATCTAACGTCTAATTTACCCTCCAAAATTAACTTTATACATTATTTCTTTATGAAAAAATACTAATCTACCCTCCAGTAATGAATAACTACATATCAAATTACAATATTGACATAATCAATCTGAGATATCTTCCTTAACAAAAGTTAACTGTAACTCCTGGATATGCTGCTTTATAAACATCGAGGCGATGATCCTAAATATGAACGAGCCAGATTTCTGGAGTTGATGTTGCAGAGACAATGTTACGTTCGATACATCGTTCCGTATATTATGCTTTCTGAAACAGGCGTGATTTAATATTGATTATTTTTCCATTTAATTAGGAACGAAAATGAAGAAGATCAAGAAGAAAAAAAAGAAGAAATGGGAAACCAATATGCTGATGAGCCAGGCAAAATTAAAATGTGAAGTTGTAAGGGATTTTGATTTAGGTTGAGGGTTGAAGGATAACCCTTGTATAACATATATAGAAGTAGCATTCTAAACAAT